CTAAAACGTGATGACAGACTCAAAAATACATAGTAAAATCAATACATTTCTAATTCCTTTCTGAATCTAATGTCGATGGTCGATAATCATTTCAACGACATTTACACATGACAATCGAGTTTCCAGACACATCAACAATTTATAAACAGTATAGTAGACAATAGGTAATATACATAATACATAYATATTTGAATATTTCCGTAGAATGTGATGTTTTTAATACTTCAACAGTTCAATTCTAACAAACGATGTCTTTAAACTTTTAATTTAGATTTCACTATTTTAATTTTTAGCATGACGAAATTATTTCGTCATGGTCTTTAGAGCAATCTTAAATGTATARCCATTATAACCTAACCTTTCAGTTATTATGAAAATATTAAATAATATGTTCGGTTATTGAATATAATTGTCGTGGTAATGATATAGTCTGTGATATTATTACTTTATGCCCTTTATGGTATCGATGCAATGGTACGGCCACCTGAAATGCAATGAAAAGCAACCCAACATACAAGGTTTCTTATCACTAGTTGTCCGAAAAAATAGTCCCCTTGACTGCTTTGGTTCCGCAACTTCACACACGTACTGACGTACTGTAGTCTGTACACGATCATAGATTAATATATTGCTTTATTTACTTAATGCTTTACAATAAATTATTGTTGACTAAATCAGTAATCAGAGATCTGTATCCGTCCCTTAAAAGTATTCAATCAGATGAGATAATATGTTAGGGTACATATTTGATATTATTAAGGTCTAATTTAGTCTAAACACAATAATTGAATGACACAGTGGAAGAGGAAGACCAAGAACAGAATTATAGAAATAGAGAATAAATAAATGACCTACGGATAGGAGTAAAAGACAATATTAGGAACTGAAAGAAATAAGTTACGATAGCAAATCACAAAGAACTGCAATAAATTAATGAATAAGGTCTAATAACGAAAAGAAAAATACTACGTAGTTTCGGCACTAAATAAGTATTTTTTTTTATATAGTTTCTAGCAAGTGTAGTGACTAGTGACTACTTAATCTTAGTGCATGATGAAATCACTAAATAAGTAAATAAGTATCTAATAACATTTATTTTATTATGATTCAGTGTATAGTATATTATTTTATCATATTATATCGTGGTAGTTGAATTAAACTTATCACTTTTTTAATTTCACTTTATAATAACTTTTATATAATCTGTGGTATAACTGATAAGTCATTTGTGAATTTGTGATARCCTGTCTGGTTACGTCGATTCGTCGTTTCGTGTCACGACTCACGAGTGACGAGTGACAACTCAAGGTTTAAGAAATAAGAATAAATCATGACTAAAATAATGAATGTAACTACTAACTATCACCATAATAATTTAAATWGTGTATCATTAATAATATGATACTTAAAATTACTAGCGATCGTTAAACACTCCAATGAACACAGAGAAATATTGTAAAATTAATTTAGGTTCATATAATTACTAATTTAAGTAATATCATCATTCATCAGTCTTCACTGATTTGATAATTATTTACATAAATAATTAGAACACTAGAACAGTGTACGTCTCGCCGAATTTTAATTTTTTGGTTCTTGTTTTACCGTGTGGGATTTTACAAAATGAGTTATACAAATAAAGTTATCCAGAGTGGATATTTTAACGACACTCTCAGACAATGGCAGTGTCAAAACACTCAAATTACTCCTTTAAATTTGATGTATCCTATTTTTATTTTGTAAGTACCTGCGTTTTAGATTTAAACCAACCTTGATTTTGGAATAATTTAAATTTATGTCTATTAGAGATGAAAAGGATGTAAGAGAAGAAATAAAATCTATGCCAGGTATTTATCGACAAGGAATAAACCATGTCAAAGCCATGTTGGATCCAATTGTTGAGTCAGGATTGAAATCTATCTTAATTTTTGGTGTGATTAATAAGTTATCAAAAGTAATTTRTTAGTTTTTTAAATAATTTTATGCAAGAATATTAATAATTTTTTTTTTTTTAATAAAAGGATCAATGTGGAACACATGCCGATTCTCTTGAAAATCCAGTTATTCAAGCTTTACCATTGTTAAAGAAATGGTACCCAAATCTTGTAATAGCTTGTGATGTAAGTAAATATTCTGTACACATTGTAGATATACTGACAAGTGATTTCAGTAATGTTAATTCTAGATAATTTTTTCTTTAACTTATAATGTGAACTTACATTCTGTAGTTCRTTAATCRCAACTCTGTATTGATAAAACATATTAAGTATACCTTAACAAATATTTTTAGATACTAAATATTCAAATTRTCATAGAATTTCTGATTTTGTTTTGATACTATTACGTCTATAACTACAATCGACCTATTTCTAAATCATCAATTTATAATATTCAAATTAAAAACTAAATTTCACATCATTAAATACGGTTTTAGAGAATGAGATGAATATTTTATTTTAGTATTCAATAAAGCATTATATACAATAAGGATTCTTAATTTATAATGATTGTTTCTTCTTTTTGCTCCAACCTACAAATTCAACCATCAGAATCTTCCATTTCCTTCATTAATCAACATGAATATACTAAGTTCTAGGCCAATGTTTTACATTATATAACACTTTAAAATATTGGTTTAGTTGTTATTTATGTATTTTGGTTCAAGGTATGTTTATGTCCATACTCATCTGATGGACATTGTGGGATCGTTGAAAACCAGCAAATAGACAACATAAAAAGCATAAACAGGATAGGAGAAATAGCATTGTCATATGCTCTTGCTGGTAATTAATTTATTATAATGTAAATTTATTAAACTTTAGTCAGCCATTCTTACACCTTTTTAATCTACAAAATCTTTGAAAATTTTTTAAAAATATTATGGTTTTAGATAGGTATTAATAAAATACTRAAAAAAGTTATATTTAAAATAAAGATTTTACGAACTGCTTGATTTTCGAAGCAAACCTAACTGAACCAAATACCTCAACAAATTCAGATCTGTAATTCAATCAGTGAAATATTAAGTTTTAAATAATATCCAATTTTTACATTTTTAATGTTCGGTTTGAGTTTTGATGAAATATTTGGAGAGTTTGGTTTGGTTCCGGTTCGATTAAAAGTATGTAAAGTACTGTTAGAGTTAATTAATTTAAAGAAAAATTCGATTTGACCTTCAATATTATGTATTTTAAAATTTCTAGATTAAATACACTCATAGCAATTGTTTTAAAATTGTATTTTATTATTCTTTACATAAGTTTGGAGAAAAAATCTTTTATTATTTTTAATTAATTATTTCCAGCTTCATAGCTACATAGCCAATTAGTTGTCTAAGATGAGTACTTATTTAGTACTCATTATTCATGAAACATTATGTATTACAATGAGAATTAGTAAAAGTAAAACATTTTATACTATTTATTGTTGTATGATCATTAAATAAAGCCATTTGATGTTATTTATAGGTGCAGATATTGTGGCTCCATCTTGTATGATGGATGGGCATGTAACAGCTATTAAACAGAGCTTAATGAAAGAGAATTTGTTGAGTCGAGTAAGTGTTTTATCGTATTCTGCAAAATTTTGTTCTGTATTTTATGGACCATTCAGAGATGCTGCAAATTGTGCACCAAGTTTTAGTAATCGATCATCTTATCAAATTCCTGTTGGAAGTTCAAGTATTGCAGAAAGAGTGGTGGTAAGTAGTATTGGTTGTGATTGGGAGAGAGTTTTTGGGGGCTTAGTCCCCGTAATAGAATTGATCAAGAACACTTGCAGACCATGTGGATAGTAATCTGGATTCTGGTTACTTGTTTCTGTACATTAGATAATACTAGCCATATGTTAATTTATGTAATAAATTTCATTGAATTAACCAGGGCCTTAAATTATAAAGAATCTTTGTATCTTGTTTTTCATTGATTATAAAATAGGTATGTAATTTGTGTATTAGTGCATTATACACATTACATATGTATACTAAATTCAAAAATGTCTTAAATACTGTTATTTTTTTAACAGTTGATTACAGTAAATTCTATAAGTTCAGATTATTTCTTATGAATAAGTAAATATGAAAAGTAAATAAGCAATTGTCAGTTTAAGAATATTTTATTTAACAAAAATGTTTTAAACTGCAAATATATGTGTTTATTCAAATTTGAATTGTGCAGTTTTATCATAGTGAATATTGTACCTATTAAACTTAAAAAAAAAATTGATAATTTCCTTTGTATATTATTTTAGGATAGAGATATCTCTGAATCTTGTGATATGACTATGGTAAAACCTGGTATGATGTACTTAGACATAGTAAGGAAAGTTAAGGATAAACATCCAAATATACCAATATTTATTTATCAGGTAAATCTCATTTTTAATTTCAATACAGGATATTGTAATAATGTCTATTTTATTTAAGGTGTCTGGAGAATATGCAATGTTATATCATGCTGCACAAGCTGGTGTAGTACAATTAAAAGAGGGTTTAATTGAAATTTTAAGAAGTATGCGGCGAGCTGGTAAATTTTATTTTATTTTTTATAACTAATTTCTTACTCTAATTTTAATTTATGCTTTAGGTGGTGATGTGATTGTGACTTACTATACTCCAGAAATATTAAAATGGTTGAAAGATGTACCATTATTATAAATATTATGTATTTTACTGTGGTTCTGGATAATTATAGTTTTTTTAAAAATATTTTGATTTGAATGAGCGTATGTTCATAAGATTAAATACACATTAGAACCACTGCCTGCTATTTAAGATAATATACTGTTATATTGGTTACTAATTGTCCTATGATTATAAGTTTTCAAATTTATTAATGAGTGACTAAGTCTAAGTGACTATAAAATAAATACCAAGACCCATTTAATAATGTATAGAACTAATTATATTACTATATTGTCTATAAACATCAGTATTTGGTTCATTATATTACTCCTTCAAGTTCTACCCTATTTTTTGCTAGTAGTTTCATGTACCACTATTTACTACATCAGAAGCTGTTGGCTAACCAGAGTAATTTTAAATTAATGATRTGCAATCTGGGAATCTTAAAATTTTAATAGGGGAGTCATAAATAATTTAACAAAAATTTAAAAAAGTATTGTGTGTATACAATATATGTAATGTAAAATGTTTCTAGTATAATTTGAGAGGTCACTTAACAAAAAAAGTTGCTATCTGCTGCTTTAAATATGTACACTTGCTCCCTTCCCACCCTTTATATTGTAGTTAACTCAATTTGGGTTAATAGATTTATTGATAATTCGATTGTGATTATTGATTAAGAAAAATGTTACTTTTTAAATTAGTACCACAATATAATATTATACTCATTTATTCTTGTATTAGAAATAAAAAATTTATATATATATATTATAAAAACAAGCTTTCCTCATTTCTCATATGAATTAAAATGTATATTCATTGTTATCTAAAATGGAAACTTTAAAGTTAAAGTAATTTATTAAATAAATTTAGTTTTGGATCCAATGTGTGTAATTTTTTATCAATTAATTTACAATAAAATAAATATGATATTATTAGATTTTCTWACACTAAATACATACTGTGTATTTCAAAATATGCTCAAATTAATTATTTCGTTCACGTAGAAAAATAACAGGTTATTTTCAACTAAATAATATAATTGAGGAATATTTGCCTGAGTTTTGTTTAGAATGGATTTTTTTGTCGAACCTTATAGTTGGATTCTATATGGATTCGTAAGGGTTTCAGAAAAGATTTATTCCTATATTGGTAATTTAGTTTTTAGAGTTGAGAACTTATTTTTTGAGATTAATATTTTTAAAGAACGGGAATGGACATTGAGAATTAATTTTTTTTCTAAATATGATTTTGCCATGTTAGTTTTTTATCTAAGTTTATCCCTAAGTATTTAACAATGTCAATAGAAGGGATAAGTAGATAATTTTTAGGTATAATTGGGTAAAGGCTGTGTCCTCAAGTGAAAATCGTATGAACAGATTTGTTATTGTTTAATTTAATTTGAAATTTTGTGTACAATTCAGAAAGAAGGTTTAATTGGGATTGTAATTTTTTTGAGGTAATTATTGGATCATAGTATAACAACTGTTGTCAGCATAATCAGTAATAAGTGTATGTTGTGCAGAAGGTTTATAAGAATCATAAATATTGAACAATTTAAATGAAAGAATGCCAGCATTAATTTCCATACTTCTCAAAAATTTGCGAAATATTAATTCTCAAACATATTGCTCCAAACACAATATCAAACAATATACTCCCATCTCCTCAACTTTGTTTTAGAGCTAAACACAGTATGGTGCATCAGGACTCAGGTCTATAGAGTAGTTGTTGCAATCTCTACTTCACTCGAAATCAAATGCTACTCTATTGTGCCTTTTTACTTTTTTAGAACATCTGTCAAGCTTTTGACATAATCTGGCATGAAGGGCTTATTTAAACTTTGTAAAATTCTTCCTTTTACACTATTCCTRTTAATGTATTAATGGAATCATATCTTACTAATTGATATTTTCAAATTTGTCAAGATTACTCCACTTCAAATATAATTAACGCTTTAAAATAAAATTAATAACTGATATTTAGTAAGTTATAATCAAATTTCAATACCTATGTTGCAAATTAAACTAAGAGCTTATTGTAAAATTGTAATTGAGTAAAAAATACGAAGAACAAAAAAAATCCATAGCAGTTAGTTAACAGACTGAAAGTAACTGGCAAAATCAGTTAACAGGCCATTGAGTGCAGTAATTTGGTGTCTAGATGTAGATTAACTTTATTAATCGTCTTTTATCCTGAGTACAAGAATTGTTGACTTCACATTCTTATCAGTTTATTATAATAAATGGAAATTGTTACATAGTAGTATAGTGTTGTACTATATTAGAATAACCACGGGTGTAATCTGGGGTAAATTCTTGGGAGGGAAGGGGGAGGGGTTATCTGTGGTAAAACTAAAAATCTAAAAGGTAAAAAGCACTATTACCCGCTCAGTTAAATATCTGAGGTCAATTTCATAATAATATAAGAACAAAGAAAAACAAATGAAAACAAATGAAAATGAAWTAGTTGAGTTTCTTACAGATATATTTCATTTTAAAAGTTATTTATTACATAGTTTCTATAATTAATAAATTCCAAGAAGATATATAGTTTTAACAGTTAAATATATTACTAATAAGTTATAAACATAATTATGTTTAATACATTTTAATTTCATTCAAAAAAGTTCAAATGTTAAAAAGGAATTTTAATAAGTTAGATGAAAACAATATAAAAATAATTAACAAGAAAACAATAAAATARGCATGTACAAAATAAATAGATCTTCATCCTTGTTCAAATGCTCTGATAAAAAAAGATTTATTTACTTTATATTTTAAACTATAAAATAAAATAATAACAAAAAATAATTTAAAAGAAAAAAACCAATACATGAATATATTAAAAATAATAACTAAAAATAAACATATAATAGTCAATAAAATTAAAGTTTATTAAACATGATAAATTTTTGAGAAAAAAAATTATAACAACAGAAAAAATATAATGGTCAGTAAACATAGAATTAATAAAAAGGTACATATGTGTTKTATCTTAGGCATCATTTTAATGAAGTGACTAGATATTTTTAAAAAGGAACACGTTCTTTTTTAAGAATTGTAAAAATAATTAATAAAAAAATCACTTAACAAGTTTGTAATAACTTAAACCAAAAAAGGAAGATAAATATTTATAATTTTAGATTGTTAAGATTATAAAATTAAGGGTRAATGTTTTATGAAATTCCTAAAATTGGTAGTTATACAATAGTTTTGACACAAATACTATGGTAGAAAAATTCATAGTAAAATCTTTAAATTTATAGGCACACTTTTTTTTTTTTTAATTAGAATTATTATTGCTGTATAAAAAATGATAAACTGCAATAGTTTGGAAGTAATCAGTAAGTATAATTAAGTATAAGCAAGTAAATTTATTAGCTCCAAAAATATTGTTCCATTCTTTGTCCGATAGTAATTTAATGACCTTAAAAAATATATTTGTATAAGATATTTACTTTGTTGAATATGAACAACTTAATCAACTTAGTGTATAATGTTCCTGTTACTACAACAGTATTAATAAATAATAAGAAGACAAAAGGTGAGGTTATAATAGAGTAACCTTAAAAATTTAATGTATACGCTTAATGTATCAACTGATTGGCAGATAGAATTTGAAATATTCATGTTATATTAATATATCTCAGCTACAGTCAATCATAATAGTACTGGTATTCTGTGAAGCRATTCGTCTAATTCTTGGCCAAAAGCGTCTAGCAGCTTTTCGAGCTTTGCTAATTGTCCATCTGACAACACCCAATTCACAAACTGTAGTATAAATATACTTCAAAATATCAGTATTCATATAAATTAAGGAAAATATTATAAAACACTAAATTATATTAAATAATACTCAGTGTTAACTAAAATGTAGGGATCTACTTATTACATATAGATGGAGAAAACACATTTCAAAACACATTTCAAAATACTATTCAGAATTTATTTAAAACAAATTAATCATCTATTGATAGAGTGATTGGAGTGGCCAAGCAGAATAAAACGGCATTCTTTAGGCACATGACTGTTTAGAAAAAGAAAATTCACCAAACTATATGTAATAGAAAACCACTGCAGGCTAGTAAAATGCCAAACTACTTAACAGATTAAACTGTTGAGACGCCAAGAGCCTTGGTCTTTAAGACCACACTACACCCACATATGTTATCTCCATCTTACAAATGACATACATACCAAAAACTGTTTTGTGCAAGACAACTATACTCCCTCTGTATTATTATAGTAGAATTACCAAAATTGCAATATTTCTTATGTTTATTTTATTCAGTTTTATTTATAATATTATAATATTATAACTTATACATAATTTATTTTTTTTATTACAATGGTAGGTTAAATTAATATTTTCCAAAAAATGACTGTATAGGTACATTATAAAATAACTATAATAGCTATAATAAAATAACAATTTTATTGAAGATTTACCCCTGCGATTTATTGATAGTCGCTTTAAAATTAAAACTTGAGATAGTAAATAAGGTTAAATGAAATTGTTAAGACCAAATCGTTCCAAAAAAGTCAGATTTATACGCAAAATTAAAAGTTGTGCCTCTGCAATTCCTGTTAATCACAATTGTTCATATTATAATGTAGAACCTTAACTCGTATTGATCTACCATTTACTAATGCTTTAGAAGTATACAAATTTCAAATTAATATAACATGTAAATCACTTTCAAATTTAATTTATGTGATGACAGTCCAYCACATTTCATKAATTCAAAAATTCATTATATAATCAAATGTATCACTTTACACAAAATTTGTATTCAAAAATATCTGTTACACATAATATGAAATAGCAAAAATGTTTAGAATTAAATGACACTATAAAAAAATGCAATTGTTTTTTTGATTATGATTCTAAATAAAAATACTAATTGCTAAACCAATAAATCCTGAAATAATTTACCAACATTTGTTCTATCATAAAACAGTCACATTATCATAAACATACTAAACACACCAACTTTTAGTTTCAAACAATTTTTTAGTATCAATATCAAAGCAAAAATTATGTATAATTGTGTTTGATGACGCTTTACTAGCAAACATAATTCACAATAATAAAAATTTATCAAAATCGGACAAGCCATCCCCTAGGTAAGATGTTAAAATATATTTTATGTGTTCATGTATCACATGCATAGGCGTGCTTATAGAGTGGGCCAGGTCCACCCTGGGAGCCATACTGTACTTGTTATACATATTGCAACTTGATAAATTGTTAACATGAAACTTTAATAATAAACTTACAAATTACAATTTTCAATGATAGTAATTAACTACAAGCATTGAAAAATTGGTATTCATGTCGCATGTGGTCTACCGAACACTTGTTGTCTACCACGTATGTTTCTACATGTCATATGCAGTCTACTGTCACGTATATATATATWTTTTTTTGATTTAAAACTTTGAATTATTAAAGAAATGCATGGCACATATCCATCATTGCTGCCCTCATATTTGGCGGAACAATGGTGGCGTCTAAAAAACAAGAATGACAACACATTTGATTGTTTTTTAAGAGATTTGAAATAATATTGTACCTAATTTAAATTGATTAATGCATATCTCTATATAATTTTACATTTTTTGTCAGTTAATTTTTAATACAAATACTAATTAAATTTATCTACATATTTTTATATATTTTTTTGTTTTATTAAATATTATAATGAAATTCTACATTAATAAAGATATTGTAATCCTACATTAATGTATTCATATTTTAAACTATGTGGTAGACCGCATGCGTAGTAGACGACAAGCTGAACGTGTAGAAACGGATGGTAGACCGTATACGACATGAATACCGAAAAATTTGGAAACAGAATTTATGAAATATCCTAAGCTCTTAAAGTGTCTTAATCATAATTGGTTTGGCCCACCCTACCAAAAAGATCACTGCACGCCAATGATTGTATTATGTTCACTAAAAGTATAAATATTCACTATTAATTTTTGTTTAAAAGGATATAAGATCATCCATTGTTGGTGTCCTCCATTTATATACAGCACATATGCAAATCCATCTTTGTTAATTCCGTTAATCATATAATAATAAGGATGGAATGAATGTAACCTATATTATACAAAGTATATTCAATAAACATATGGGTAAAATTATACTAATACATTTGTTTTATAATTTAATTAATACAATTTTACCTGAAACTCTTTCTTTCATAAAAAGCAATTGCAGATGAGTTGCTAGAAAGTACATGTAAAAAAATTGCCTTACAGTTTTGAGATTCTGCAGAAGTCAAATGCGATATAAGATTATCTAACAACAATGACGCTATGCCGTTTCGTCTATATGCTTTACTAACACCTAAACTCAAGATATATCCAACTTGAGTAAATTTTCCTGCAGATGGTGAAACTATTTCCCTTTCCTATAGTACATATACACATATAAATCAATTAGTYATTGATGCATAAAATAAATTTAACAATAATTGATGAAAAAAATATTAAATCATAATTCTACCTTAGGAGTTAATTTTATATATAATTTGATTTCAGCTACTATAATGCCAATAATAGCAGATTTATGTATAGCAGCTAAAGTATAAAACTTTGGATTTGATGTAATGTCTTCATACCATGATCTAGGGTATTCCACAGGAAAACAATCAACACACAAAGCGTTCACCTGCAATAATATTAGTAATATAATAGATATTTAATCTTCATAAGAAGCATTCTTCGTAATATGAAAACTGACATAGTAATAGTACTAATAGACGAAGAAATTTATACAAGTAATTTAAAAAAATTTACTTTTGTACTTCATATATTATATATTTTATTACTATATTATTAATGCTCACATTATCTTAATAAATGTCCATACAAAATTATTATAACAAAAAACATGACTGAAAACACAAATGAAAAATAAATGTTAGGATTTTAAAGAATACATTAAAAACATTAATACATATAAGTTTAGTTAGTTAATTTGCATTGCAAATGAAAAAACTGAACATATA